CATATGATTATATATTTTACGGTTTAAATCACCTCATAAATTCAATGCATCGCGTTATTATTATCTCCCTACGATTACATCATTTATGTTCTAAAATTCCCGCCTGAATTCAAAGTACAGACTTATCATCATATGCCAAAGTAACATTACTTTTTTGAATATTAAAAATTCGAGAGCCAATTCAATTAACAACATTGTATTCTCTTTGCACAATATTTACCTATTAGATGAATAACATTTATTATAGCCAAATCAAAGTGATTATACATGTTACATAGTATTTTTTTACGAATGGCTCCGGGATCGTTTTGTATTGTCAGTGGTTCTGACATTTCTTCAGTTTACCACTAAGTGTCATATTAAGTGATATAACGTGACGGTTCGGGTTTTTACGTAAATTTAGTGATAAAGCGTAATATTATTCTTCCTAGTATTTCATTCTATTACATGAGTATGCCATTTTAATTTCTTGTACGCTGTTTGTAGACGCAATCACAATTAACGGGATTTGAAAAGAAAGATTTTGAGTTGGAAAGAAGATTTTTTAATTTGCTCAGATTATTCACTAAATTACGGCGGAATTAAGAATCTGACAAAGAGACGTTTTCAGCGTTTGTTCAAATTTGTCAATTTGTGTGAATTGCTCTCGACTTTAAAAAATCCATCAATCAACTTATATCTCAAACGAGGGAGCTATGGAAAAAAATGAAGCTATTACAATAAAACTGGCTCTGCGGGAAATTAAAGGAAGATGAGTGCCGTAATCGTATCATGGGACGAATTGAATAGAATCCGTGTCGCTAATGATATCCACAGTGTGCCATAACACTGCAGCGGTATGCATTAAGTTAGTATGCTTGTTAATCCACTTCTTCCGCTATTCACCTAAACCACGTGAACAAGGTCATGGCAACTCATGTTTGTTTGTTTTTTCGTCATGTGAATGAATGAAATGTTGGTCTGCAAATATATGGTTAGAGTGATTATTGTGAGAGTGTACGAACAATCCAAAAATGTATACTGCTTAACAACCTAGATGAATCCGTCTAATAAACAAGTTGCCGATCCATGAGTGTAATTCGAACATTCGAAAGAAAAGAGTAGTTAGGAGCATCATAGTTTTGATAAAAAGATGTAGGCAGTACTGGGTTATTAGAGAGACTAATGTTTTATTTTAACAATACCTTATTTCCGGGTGAGACGAATGAAATTCTGACGAGATGAAAGAAATATTTGAAGAATTAGCGTACCAGGATATGGCGGGAGTGCTCAGTTCAAAAAAAAACATGAAAATCATCGGTGATGAAAATGGCGCAACCATGTCATTACGCGCAATCAAACATAGATAAATACAGGTTCATGAGCGTAAATCAACTACAACCAAATAACGTATTCAAAGCTTAAAAAAACATGAAAGATTAATGAACGGACCCTAGGTGTATAGCCAGTAGGGTGCTGCCAGCCAGGTGTTTCGGAAAGAGTGGGCAAATCCTGCTCTAGGCGTCTAATCAATATGGGGCTCTAGTACACCAATCTAATAACATTGATGCCCTTTGAGATCTGGTTTGTCAATTTGAGTGAAGGAACATACAAATTTACCTTCCAGAGATGGTGATAATTATTCACCGAGGCGCAAGGAAAACAAAAATAATATTTATATTCTCAGAAAATTGTGGCTATTATTTTATTTGTCATGTCCTATCTCGACAAACATGAACACAAAATGTCAAATTAACAGGCTGCATACTTTAGCATGCAGATTTTCATTCCGTTTCTTTGCATCTGGTGGGTAATATATTTGTGCACTTCATGTTGGCAATAATTTGGAAAACGTGCGATAATTTTGACATGGTCAGTTTTGCTATGTTGTCTGGCTTGACAACTTGGCAAGACATCATCAAAATGCTTTACACCTCGTGACGACAGCTCGTCCAATATGTAGCCCAATAAAATGATAAAGACGGCAACGGAATATGTTTACCTGTAATGCTCTAATTTGATTGGCTATAGTTTGTTGACCTAGATAGTATGCAACTTACCAAAATTCTGGAAATGTACATATAAGTGGTAAAGAGGTCATCAACGTTCTAAGTCATTCAAATATAAACAAAGTGCGCGGAACAGACTATGTAGCCTGCACATACCAACTGACCACCATACCTTTGCACATTTGTTATGTGCTGATAAAATACCAAATGAATGATTCTATTTGTTCCAATATTAAAGGGGAAGTCAAAGTTGCGAATTTTATAGTTGGCTCATCACGTGTCTATATTTTGTTAATTCAAATGCATTTGTTGTTGTTTGAAATTGAATGTGTGTCACATTCTGGGGGTTTTAATACATGTCTCCCAAAGGTTACATACACCGCCATTGTTCTAAATAAAAACGCCTTCATGCAGTTATGACTGTCTATTAAATTGTAACTGTGACGTAATATCGTCTGATTAATTAATAGCAACATAGGGGGCATTCGTTCAAAAACTTTTTGGGGAGTCAAAATTTATGCTCGTTGCTAGCAAACTGTGTTGAAACCATTGGTTGTATTTGCGGATCCCGCGGAAAGCTGTGTTCTAGAATGATGCCGACCTGCAAATATTATGGGTGCGCAAACGACAAGGACCGACACGGCAAAGAAAAATCTTCTTTTTTTTTTTACTTTCCCATGTCCTAAAAAAAGAAGATCGCTTTATGTTATATGGGAGGCAAATATTGGTACGGATTTCAGGGCAAATAATGTCGTCTGTGAAGACCATTTCAAACTGTCAAGACCATCAGGATATTGTTTGAAGGTACAACTCATTTTGCTCAGGTTTTTCCTAGGTTGAAATGAACTCGCCTTCTCTACGCGTTTGATTTCGTTCCCCACACTCTTCACTCGAATAAATTGCAAACGTAATGTTTGCATGGTAACCTTACACAAATGGGAAGCTTCTTATCCCAGTAACAAACACCCAGCGACTACTGAATGCACCGCTCTATAACTGGCGCACCTTATCTTGTGTTCTATTATGGGGTAGCTTATATTTCTGTTTTATATAAACGATTTGCCAGACCATATAATCCCCGGACAGCTAGTGTACGTTTTTAAAGATATACTCAAGGAAATAAGGACGTTCAGTAGAGATATAGTTATGAAACCGAACATATATCTTACATTGGAGTTGAAATGCTTCCAATATGTCAAGGAAAACACATATAAACAGTTGTTCAGCAAATCTCCTAGAATGCGAGGCAAAAAAGTAGATGTTTAAATTGAGAGAGAGCTTCGCTTCTTATACATTTTCACCTAAATACATTTTACACCATTGCCATTGTAATAAATAAATAAATAAATAAATAAATAAATAAATAAATAAATAAATAAATAAATAAATAAATAAATAAATAAATAAATAAATAAATAAATAAATAAATAAATAAATAAATAAATAAATAAATAACCTGCCTGGCACTCATTAAATTCTTATAACTTTTGTAGTTCTTGTTCAATTTACGGAAATAGATTTGCACGATGTGAACTTACTGGGCGGCCGGTATTCTGACCTTGATTTATGACTGGAAACCGTATCTATGGTTTGGAATCCTATAAGTGCTTCTTTGCTGCGTCTAAATTTTACGTTGAAATTATATGATCGAACTGTTTCCGTTTTGATCACCTGGCTGCCATGGAAACTAAACACAGCAAATACATCCAAATGAAACCTGAATCTAAGCTTAGCCTAGTTCTATAAGCGCAGTGTCACTTCGAACATTAAACATAAACTTACCGGAAAATCATATACTTGTCTATTGCATGTCACTTGGGTACATCTCTGGTAGCCTGTCTTGTTGTCGCATATACCGGCGTGTATGGATCGTCAAATGACACCGACCTTGTAAAATCACGGTATCCTAATTTCCCCGAGACTACGCAAATTATTATACACGACGGCTATCCAATCACATGTAATCGCTCGTCATTGAGCTTCTCCTACGTCGAATGACCACAACCCATTGGCGGCGACAGCATCGAGTACGGGCATGAAGTTCGAGACAAGAGCTCGTCGTTTCGATCACATGCTAAACGCGTGGACCAGAAGCACATCGTCGGCGCGACAGCCTCGATCACGGGTTTGGAACGTGAGACAGGGCGTCTACTCTTAAGGTACAGTTGCAATCATCCATATACTAGTACAACACGATTTGGCGTAACACTGTGGTTTGGTGTTAAACGCTAATGTATATCGGTATAAGATCGTAGATGTTTCACCTTCCATTCAATTCGCTAAAACGAAGGTCATTCAACAAAACTAGATATAATCAAAATATAATGACATGAGTGTTCTCTATTTCCACGTTACGTGTAAGGGTAGCATTTCATACATAAATCGTCTATCCACTGAAAAATGATTGCAACGAACAGATATCATGTCATTTCGCTTGTTTAATTTCGAGATACAATAGCATACTAGTACCTTGTCTATTTTTTCTGTAGGTATCACGGAATCCTTGAATTGAATTGAACCCAGCGAAGAGAGAAACCTGCGTTGTTTCTCCCAATGCTAGCAATGCCTTCGAAAAAGCGCAACAAAGTGGACGATGTTCGGACGGTGGACTTAAAGGCGTCGCAGACGACGCTGAGAAAACGAGCGTGGTTTGTAAATAAGTCAGAGCTTTCATCCAGGCTGAAAAAGGGGCCTATGTTGAAGCTCATAGTGTTGTTTGTGACGCCAGTTGTTATTTTGTTCTCTGTGATAAGTGTAGGAATACATGATCACGCGCATAAGAGCAAGTCAATTGCCACCGATGAAGACGTCCTGATTTCAAGCACACATTTGTACGATGTGATAACGTATATTGAGGCAGAGCGCTGCAGCTTGGTTAACTCGTTTATCGTTAACAGAACTGTATCGAACTCGCGTGTCCCTCCACCATATACGTGCTGCAATAAGTCATTGGCTAAATTCCCTTGGTCAAGCAGGTCATTGATAATAAATAACAATACATTTGAATCAGGGGAAGATGTGGTTCGCTTTTATGAAAATACAATAATAACCGACTACACTGGCCTGTTTGAGACAGTGGTTAAGTACCAAGACGACATCGCTTACCTGACTACGCAAATCTTATTAGCCATACAAACCATCGATGAAGGCGATATCTGGCAGAACTTGATGTCTTATTTAATGTTGATAAAAACTCAAGAAAATATAGAGGTTGAGAGAATGGTTGGGCAGCTTTATTTTTTTAATTTCACATTCCCAACATACGAGTATTTCCTGATGTATTGCCGAGCCGTTAGTGTTGGGAGCATGACCATTAACGCCGCTATGGCGTATTCGCCTGATGTTAAGGACACGTTCACGGAGAATGTTGCTGTTCTGAGCTCGGATTCCCAGTATTCCATAGAAACCACACGTAGAAACCTGAGAATGGACTACCTAGACGGCGACAACGAGACAACAGTAGGGCAATGGAGGGAGTATGTGGATAACTTGTATACACTATCTCTTGCGGTAACTGATTCAGTACATCGAATCGAGAATTTGAGCATCGCCGACTTGGACAGCATGAGCACATCGACGAAAATGAACCTGTTCTTGGACGTGCTTGCTTTGTTAGTAAGCGCTATTGTAGCCCCCGTTACACTAGGAATCATCCTTAATATCACTAAGCAACTACGGGAATCAGTTGAAAAAATTGCAGGACAAACCTCCATGTTAAACACCGAGAAAAGAAAAGCAGACGGGCTGTTAACTCAGATGTTACCGGCGAAAGTGGCCGAAGACCTCAAGAACAATAAGCACAACAAGGCGGAAACATTCGAGGAGGTAACCGTGTTCTTTTCTGATGTAGTAGACTTCATGAAATATGTAACCATGATGAACCCAGTGAATGTTATACGTATGTTGAATAGTCTATATTCATGTTTTGATGCTCGAATTAAGCTATATGATGTTTACAAAGTGGAGACAATCGGCGAAGTCTACATGTGTGTATCAGGTAAAAGCAGCTGAAAATATTTTTTTTAATTATTCATACAATAGTTGTGATTTGTCATATTCTTGTACATACAGTATATGTATATATGCATTGGCTGTGTGATCACCCGCACAGAGAAGTTCATGGTTAGACCCCCCCCCCAGCTGACTGTACTCACCAGAGTACATTGCGAGTAAACTGTCAAACACGCGGTACTGGGTTTGTTAGAATAACATAGTGTCAGATCGGATGTGAACGATAATTCTTGTACTGCCCTTGTCTTCGAGCACGGTAACTAACCCAAACTTAAACGCACAGAGTTGCGGATTTCCGCGTGATGATTTGATTGCACCCTTATATGCCCCCATAATTAAGGCTCCAATGTATGTCTGTAAAATGGCTTCTCTGTATGGTGAACGGACGATTAAAAACAATAAAATTTTCAAAATATATCCATTTGTTTGGAATTGTTTTAATAGCCACTCAAGTGTACGTCTTAAAATGATAAATTATTTGTTTTATAAAAAATCATGTTAGGAGCTAAATTTACGTGAAAGTGAAGGTGCGGGGTTTAGCATATAGCTTCTGCGAACTCTATGAGTTTGATCTATATCGCTTTATATTTATTTTACGAATAGTTTTAGAAAACTTATTTACAATTACAAGTAATTGTAGTTTATTCTAAATGAGAAATTTGAGGAATTTTGTCCAACATTTTCTATAAAAAAAATCGAGGCAATGAACGTGGTCTGACGTATATGCGAATAATAATACTCATCCTTTGTAGGTTTGCCTAACCGGAATGGAAATCGACACGCCGGTGAGGTCGCTATGATGGCACTGCATATGCAACGCAGTATGGGAGAAATAAAGGTACCCGGATATGACAATCTGAAGCTAGAACTAAGATGCGGACTTAATTCCGGTAAGGCGTTTGACGTCATTCAGTCGTCAAATAAGTGGAATTCAGTTACGGGAGCATATATGTCACCTAATCAGCCAGAAATGTGATCTTAATTGGCAACTGATTGTGGCATTGTCGTTGAAGGAGACAATCCACAGATTTAAGTTAATTAGATGATTTCCGAGGTCGGTTACATTGCATGGGGTACTTTCATATAGGAATGTTACACTAAAAATTGATCCGTTTTTATGGGTAACCATCGTAAGAATCACACGGACTCGCAAACTCGATGAAATCATTTTCTCAATTTCTGACAACAGATTCTATGATGTCATACTTTACTCATGATCCTTTGCTTGAGAATCAAGAAGGCTGACTACATAATACTGATGAAAAGTTGAATATCTAGAGAATGAAAAGTGATATAAAAAAACTGTAAATTGCATTCTCTTACATTTGTGGAGCTTTTCCTTGAGGGTCATTATGTTGTTTGGCTTGATGTTTCCTTTAATGGCAATGGAAATCAAACAAAAGGCAGGATATCAACTTGCCAAAGAGGGCACACTTGTCAACACACTGGAAAAAAGAAAGGCATGATACTAGCGAGACGATAGGTTGTCAAGGTAGTGCCGTGCAAGAAGACTGCATTTCAAACGCTCTAGTGGCTGCTATAATCATCGTCGATTCAGTTGTTGATCGGTCAAGATAAACGATGACACGGAATTCCCTTCCAAGTTCTCGGTAATGCATTCGATTGGTTTTGTAACGTGAAATCAGATCAAAGCTCACCCATCGTGCGCATGTGCAGTTTAGAAGTCCTGTTTTTTCAATCTGGTTAAAAAGATTGATCAAAATTGTTAGCAGTCAGAAATGCATAAAAAGTTGGCCAGACCTTCGATCTCTAATATAGATAGGAAAATTAACAGGGAGTAACTGGTCATGGTCACTGTCATTGGCTTGCTTGATTTCGTTATCTGCCCAATTGTTGTATCTTCCATGCTCCCTCGGCGGAACAGATTAGGTTTCTATCCAGTGACGTCGACGGACCTAGTATTCCTGGAAATATTATAATTTACATAATATACAGAGGACAGTTGACAACAAAATCTATGCCCACTTCGTTATTATATTTTTCGTTCACACTTTCATTGTTAACACTTTCATTTCATTTTTGCGATGTCCTGGAACGCCTTTAAGCACATATAACATAACACATTACACGTTCATAGTGTACCATTATTAGTAAACACACTGCATGTCTTCTTCTCGACGTCTGCTAGCGGTCCCCCGATTTCCTCACAAAATGATGTAAAGACGCATCTAGAAAACCTAACTGCGTTCTTCGTCTTCGGTGCATCTTTATTTTCTACTAGTGTGTCAAGTTCTTCTTCTGAACTGACGCTAAATCGTCCAGTCTTTCGAGGCGGACCATCGATATCAGCGACCGAACTAGCAGACGACATATTGGAAATCACACGATCAGGTGACGAGTGACGTCATCCTCGGGCACTTGTTGATGTACTAGTCTTCCTAAGGAACTAGTAATTTGCCTGGCGTTACTATGGTAATTTAGCCGATAACACGTGATCCTGTTTTGACCAATTACAGTACAGTATTAACGAGTGATGTGTTATAAATCAGTTTAGGCTACTTAATAGGACACATTGCTCCATCTGCCTGTTCACGTGATATGAAAATTGAACTCAAACGTAAAGGATACATATGTTTTATCTATCACTGCCCATGAAGTGTGGTATTTGGAACAATAAGTCTCGCTTTCGACGAGATGTGAGCGGTCATTTGCGTCGAAGATATATTAACCGCCGTCGAGATTTCGTTGAGAGCAAAAAAAGTATACATGTTTGGTTAATATTGCTGCATCATCCATTCGGTTTCCAGGCTCATGTGTTGCTGGAGTGGTTGGCATAGCAACACCAAGATATTGTTTATTTGGCGACACTGTGAATACAGCATCGCGAATGGAATCCAGCTCTTTGCGTAAGTAATCACCAACTCTCATCTCATATGCTATGAATACACCTTATTTGCATATGACAGTTGAGATCACGTTAAATCACGTGGCCACGCAAAATGTTATGCCCGCTCCTTACAAATAGTGTTTCTACCGCGTTCACGTCCACTAACGTCGACATTGTGAATTTCTTTCGTTTTTTGGTGAAAAAAAAACTGAAAAAAAAAATGATTTTGACAAGAAAATTCAGAAAAATATTAAGAATAATTCATAACGACATGGTATGAACCTATAAACAATTTTAATAATTACCGACTACACAAGAATATTACACAAAAATATAATTCGCTATATTCTCTATATTTTTGGCTTTTTTTGTCTTGAATTATGAATGAAATTACAAACTATGTAGTGTGTTCAACAACTCATGTATGAACAATAACTTGAATAAATATGATTTTACTTGGTAAAAATACTGTATTTTTCTGCATAAAAACGAAAAAATTTCACGATGTCGAAAACGGGAAGTCTTTATCGCAGTGTTCACTGTTCGCCTGACCTATGTAAAGCGGTGGACATAAGACACTAGAAGGAGCGAGAAAAACAAAGTCTCGTGGCTTTCTCGTTATCAACGAGATTTTGGCAGCCATTTGCAAATACAATGGCTGCCATGTCACTCGCTCTAGCTCCACTAAAGAGAAGCACCGTACGAGTTCAATACGTCAAGTTAGTAATACGAAGATGGCGATTAATATAATTATTCAAAAAACATAAAAAATAAATGCACTGTCTGAATCGAATCATGAAACTATGCACCACGCTACTTACTTCTTTTAGTTATTTTTTCCCTGATACGCATTCGGGTAACCTCTCATATTTCAGCGGGGCGAATTCAAGTCAGTCAGAGCACGTGTAGAATACTGAATATATTGGGGAAGTTTAATTTAAGCCCACGTGGTCAAATGGAAATAAAGGTAAGAATGATTTACCTTGTTATGTGTGTAATTACACTGATCCGCGCATTAACCATATTACTTTGTTCCACGATATATGAGAGTTATGAGTTCTTGCGCCCTCGCCGACGGATCCAATTCAAGCGCAACCTAGCGAGTTCGTCTAAGTGATTCTATTCGACCACGTCGATGTTGTAGAAGAAGATGTCATACCTTTTTTTCTCTCCTAACTCCTAAGAGGTTGACTCATTCAGTCTTCGGTCTGGGAATAGGACCGCCTTCAACACACAATTTAGTACGGTGGAGAAACGTACTATACATATGTGACTATACTATGTGACCTGTTGTAGTGGACCACTATATTACATTATGTTCTGTGGTGTCCAACTGTAGCCCGCTATACGGCATGACGCTGTGGTCCCGGTTATGTCAAAGTGTACTGCCCTGTATTTAAAGGGCGGTAGTCGCGCTGCGCATGTGCGACATCTGTGTTCATAAACATTGATTTTCCCACAATCCAATGCGCTCTTCTAATGGAATCACAAGTATGAGGTTCGACCTGGGCGCGACTTGCACTAATTACCGCTCATGACTCCTTCAATAATTTCTAAACATCTTATAAAATACCTAACCTAGCTTAGTAACGTCTCAGTTTATACTCGTTGATCTGCGCAACAAAGTCGCCATCTTTGTTTATACACGGTTACTAAAAAAGGACAGACAAGAACAATTAAACAGGCATTTTATGAAACTGGCGGAAAATGTTGAATACATTTTCAACGATTTCTACGGCGTCTACAAAAAAAATGGTAAGACTTTAAACAAAATGGCAGTGACGCGAAAGCAAAACGATAAAATGTACTCTAATAAGCCCCCAAATCACATAAAACCGTCATAAGTACGCACAGTAGTATACTAAAAATTCATTTGGTAGTATTTTTTATAATATAATGTATTTTGAAATAATGACTTACGGGTTAGAATTTTCGTCACTTTTTCTTCCGGGACTCAAGCTTACTTTCAGGATAACAGTGAAAACGATAAATGACGATTCTCTATTCTGAATGTTATCACAGTCACAAAGAGTACTCATCCGAAATGTAAATTTAGTTCTTCGTAATAAACGTGGATATTCTATCGAAAACGAACTGAAAATTTCAAATTCGCGGGGCATCATGTTATCGACACAAAAATGAAACAAAATGGTGGACCTTGAAATCTCAAGCAATAGAGGGCGTACACAGCGCGACACGCATCCTTGAGGGATTAGGCAGATTCACACCTTTTAACAAAATCGTTTCCTAACCGTCTTTTTTAGTAACCGTGGTTTATATGACTTCACTTGATTTCGCGTTCACATGTCTTGTCCATTTCATAACACATATTTCGCTTTGTTACAGGGGAAAGGAACAATGATGACATATTGGTTATTGGGGAAGAAGAACTCGACGCATTATTAATTTAATAATGTTATAAATTGTACCCTTATCTAGAGACGTTGTTTAACATTGAAAAACAGTTCCTGCTGTTTAATAGTTTGAAAAACTGATTAGTAATTGTGGTTGTGCAATGACAATGATCGATTTCATGATTCAATTCTGTAATAACTGTCACGTGAACTTATTTTTTGGATCTGGTGTTTATGATACTATAAGACCCATCAAAGCGTGGCATGGCATACATGCGTACTATAGTGAAAAGAGCATTCAGTTGTGCCAACTTCCGTCTTGGTGTGCCTATAGTATAAGAAATTCGTAGATGAGTATGTTAAAAGGTCGTATATTAATCAATTTCTGATAGATGGGGTTTCAGCACAGTCGCTGAATACGGTTTTTGAAACCAAAATACCGAGAATAAGAATGTCTTATTTGAAAAAAAATATATCACAGCTATGTTCAGTTAACAAATCTATGAACGAGTACAAAATGTTAATGTAATGTGTTGTTGTAATCACTTCATGACTCTCACAAAACTAACAATGAAAATTTGTCGGCCATACTTATAACAGTGAAAGTTCAGGGTTTTTTTTTCATACTATATTGATGAAAAATATCATCAAATTGAGTCAAAGCTCTCTATTATCCACTGTTTAGCAGTGCAAGTTTTAAAGGTGTATTGTGTTTTTGGATTGTCATGTGACATGTTTGATGGCAAATATATTGATGAATATACCATAGACTGA